ATTAGAGGGGCCTTAATAATTAGAATAGTGTTTGGGGCTCCTTTAAAGTATAATTATAAGAAGGAACCCTACGAAGACTGTCGGTAATTATCTAGGCTGCTACATTAGTAATAATATCCCCTGGGCACAAAAGAAACCTTTTTAAATCTACCGTCTGATATACCCTCAAGTCAAACGCTACTCCAAGTAGGGCCCTATACTATACCAGACCATCAGGCATGGCATGCAAGCCGAGCATGGCTCCGGAAACCTGACCCCGAAGTCACGATTTCGACGGGATTTTGAGTTTAGGGCTCACGGTCCAAAAGTCCCCGAAAACAAAAAACAGTCACGACCACTGCACAGCAGCATGCTGAGATCAGCCTCAGGGCTCCTAATCTACCGGACACGGTGTCTTCGACAAACAGGTCTCCCCCAAGTCACGTACCAGATCTTTTGGCTGCGCACTCAGGGGTTTGGGAATAGGGCTCGGAGTTGGGCATCTAGGGATGAGATTTAGGGCTTAAATTAGGGTTTAGGGTGATTTAGGGCTTAGGGCATACTGGACTATAAAACCCCGCATTAAACCCCGGGCGATCGAAGCGGCCAGTAGATGAAGACTCCAACAGTGGCGAGGCCGACGTAGATGCCAATCCTCAGTGACGGTTTAGGGTCTAGGGTTTAGGGTTGAATCCTCAGCGGTCAGGAGAAGTGCGCCTGAAGTCATCTTTGTTCCCTCCTTCCTCCAACTACTATGCTGTACTTTATTGCGCTGTATCATACTATAGCATACTACTAGTAATCATAATATACTATGCCATACCCTATTGCACCAAATTCTCCTATTATAGTTAAAGTAGGATACTAGGTTCTACTTTATCCGGGCTGGCCTTGCAGGTGGCCGACGCAAGTGGACGTGCCAGAAGACGCCCGTCTGAACTTTCGAGAGAAAAAGGGGTTTAGGGTTTAGGGTCTTGTATTGGGGTACCTCACCCTAAATTCCTAAAACTTTCGAGAGAGAAAAAAAGGGGTTCAGGGTTTGGTATTAGGGCATACTACACTAGAATCCTAGAAAGATAGGGGCCCTTGTAGGTGTCTGCAGTCAAGCTTGAAGCACCTCTCGGAGACTGAAGGATCCGAGATGCCTCAAAAAGGAGCCCTGCTTTAATTCAAGGACATCAGGAGACTGCCTACTTCAGGGCCCTCGGAATTTTGGGGGTTGCGCACCGTTTCAAACAATTCAAGGCCAGGGAGCGTGAGGTATCTGAACCTCGGCAGCTCCGACCCACGAGGTGCAAGAGCGCTTCGGAACTATTGTTGACTCTGCGGTCGACCCGAAATATTATCTCTGAGAAGGACTGCAAGTTTTCTCGGCACATACATACATACATACATACATACATACACACACACGTGTACATATACGGGGAATGGCTTTCGGGCCATTAGCCGGAGCCTGCAGGTCATATCTCCGGGAAAAGCTCAAGGTCGATTCGCTCTGAGCTGGGGCTTCCGGGCAGCTGCGCAAGTTTTGCTTTAAATTCATGTTTAAGGCTCGAGGGCCTTGAGGGTTTTGGTGTGTTTACGTATGTTGTAAAATTTTCGTGACGGCAACATGTGATCCATGCAAGGCTTCGAACTCGGACACCTTCTCTTTACACTTGATGCACAGGCAGGATTTGCTTGTGAAGCGTAATGCCATGTCACTTGCCCGAACTTGACTTACAACACACGAAGGCAATGAGAAGATTGGATGAATGCCGGCGAAGACATAACATCAAGCTACATGAATAAAGGCACTTCTGCACAGCTCAGGTAATGTCAAGCTCGTTCAAGCTCCGCATACTTCGTGAAAAAAGCGTCGTTGTTGGCAACCGGGCGCCCCGACAAGATTTGTGGCGCAGCTTCTTTCATACTTTTGGTGTTCCACAGGGAGCAGAGTCTGAGGTGCATGCCTGAATGGCATGTTGAACTTTGCTGGTATGTGGATGGACGTTGCCAGATCCGAACTCTAGGCATTTTCGAAAAACAGCAAGAACAAATCAACGAGTCGCGAGCTCTGTGCCACTGCTGCATCTGGTTCCACCAATTGCTGCAAAGAAAGCATTGTGTTGATTTTGTGCACCGAAGAAGCAAGAAAAGACAATTTTATTGCTCTGAATGTTGGGAGGGGAGAAAAGGCTGGCTTTTGCAGCATTTCGGCAGTGTTAACTGAGCGTTGACTGAGTGTTGACTGAGTGTTGACTGAAGAAAGAGCAGGAGCAAAAGCGGGAGCAGCAGCAAGAGCAGGAGCAGAAGCAGGAGCAAAAGCCAGCGCGGGAGCAAGAGCAAGATCAGGAGCATGAGCACGACCCCTCAAAAGTGGCAGTAGAGATAAGAATACCCCCTAAAAATGAAAGCACTTTCCTAGTTTTTATTCGGGGAGTGGGGGGGCGGAAACGACCACCAGGTTACCAGGGGATATGATCACCGACTATTCAGACCCCTATACTTCAAATCCGGTCTCGTTATGTCTCGTTCACGAGGTTGCTTGGCACGCGCGGAGACACACACGATGAAGATGAATGAAGATGCTTAACCAAACACTTGTGCTGCAAAAGTCCTAAAATCCTAACCTACACACCCACACACACACACACACACACACCCGCGCACACATGCGCACACACACACACACGCACACCTCATCCTGTCTGCCGGGCAACAAAGCCCACCCAGAGATCAACGTATCGTCCTGGCCACATCAATCCCAGGATAAGGAAGCTTAGAACACAACACACATGTCCGTCCAGGCATGGATACCGTTTTGAACCTCCTCCCCCGTCAAGAATACTGCACCACGGTTTTGGTTTGAGGTCTATTTTCAGGGGTTTGAGGGTTTGGGATGTGGACCCTTCCGAAACAAGGGCCAGCGACCTCAGTAATTGGACCGCAGAAATGGAAAGGTACACCCCAAAAGGACCTCTAGGTTGAAAGCTCCGTGCTTCAGGTCAGAGAGTGTTCCTTCAACCTTGAACTTATTATTGTGGCTGCAGGAAGAAGATTCCTGAATGAACGGGGCACTGGGCACTCTGGATTCCTCACGCTAGAACGCCTCAACATTTTCAAACGCCCAAACCAAGTACGTACCCCTAAACCCTACAGCACCAAAAATCTTAAAACTCCAAACCTCAAAACTCTGCAAACCCCGAAAACCTCTGAACCCGAAACCCCTACAACCTTAAAAATTAAAACCCCTAAACCCACCAACAAAATCCCTGGGCTCTCTAAGTCCACCTGCGCCATGCTAACTTAAAGCGTCCTTGCGGCGCGGCGGCTCAGACATGACCTTCGGGAATGTAACATATTAAGTTGTGTCATATTATGTTGTATTGTACTACGTCATATCAGGTCGGTCATATTAGGTCGTGGCATAATATACTAGGTCATATTGTACATTACATTATAGGCATAGTATTATACTGTAATGTATCGCGCTGCTTTGTATTCTATGATGTCATATGGGGCTATGTTACAATATATTTTGATATTGTGTTACGTTACATTGCATTACACGGCATACACTGCATTATACGATATGGCATTATCTCACATTGAATTACACTACATTATATTACATTGGTATTATATCCTCGTGTAACAGTGTAATATAGTATAGTATAGTACCGTATACTGCTAGTGTAGTGTAGTTTGTCTTAAATGGCAGAACAATATGGTTTAAGGGTTGGGTCTTGCTGTTTAGCGCTCCAGGGTTCCAGGCTTCTTTATCAAAGGGTTTGGTCTAGGGTTTAGGGTTCGAGGTTTGTTCGGGTTTCGGGCTTTATAGTTTGTAGTGATGATAGGCCATAGAAGTTATAACTGGCAACACTTACGATAACAACAACAAATATGATGGTGATGAAAATAGTAACAACAGCATGTTTTGGAGCTGCAAGCATGCATTACCCCGAGCAGGTTCTCTGAGATTCTGGCAGGTTTTGTGCTCTAAGCACTTCTGATGAGGAGCACCAAGATAAGTTGGCGCTTTCAACTGTCTGCCTGTATCTCTCTCCATCTTGCTGTCTATCCGTCTTTCATGCTGGCACATGTGACCGCTGAAGCTGGCGTCCAGGCCTACATGATATACACTTAATCCGGCAGTTGAAGCAACTTCACCGTGACTAGCTTCTTTGGTCCCCCTAAAAAGGGGCCTCAATGAGAATATGTTCCACAGTATCCTTTCTAACAGGGAACCCTCAGGAAGAATATTGGCAGTTAGCCAGGCTTCTATGCGAACCCGCTGTGTTTTGTCTTGGCTCCCGCAGGCTTTTGCCGGCACTCCCTCCTCGGATCTTCTCGGGAAGCGACGCGTTGCAAGACAGGGGCGGCAGCTACGTTAGCTTCTAGCACATACCCTCAAACCTAGACCTTAAACCTAAACCCATGCTGCGGTAGAGTTTCAGGGATCCCTTGGAGGGAGTTTCAGAAACGAGCCGCAAAGATCCGAAGCCCCCCGCCATCGCCTAGACACTAAGGGCGTAGTAGAGTTCAGGCAGGCCTGTTGTGAGGTCTTCCCTCGAAATCTTCCACAATTTTGCGCTCTGCGGGTAGTTCTCCAAACAGTCCGGTCCCCAAAATAGCGATTACGACCCCTTATAGCAAGACCCAAGAAAGACCCGAAATATAGTAAAACTACCCATGTCGAATCCAGCCGCGCTGTCGTCCGGTGGGTTGAAGCCCAAGGCAGTTGCGGGCAAGCCGTCCTCAGAGCTTTTCAATCGTCTCTTGAAGCCTCCTAAACCCTAAGGCTTCTCAACCCTCCCTAAACCCTGAACCCTCATGAATTCATATGCTACATCTTCCCTTTTTTGCAACAGGCCTACCCTATACTCACGCTCTTCCGAAGCTTGCAGAGGCTTGAACAAAGAGCCGCCAGCCTCAGACTAAGCCCTAAACCCTGGCATACTTAAATCTCAAAATGACGGATCCCAGTCTTGTCGGACTGCGTGACACCCCTACGTTACAGGAGCTTGCCCCGCACAAGAACATCTATGTTTGCTGCCTTTAGGGTGGAAGTTTAGGCTAGAACTAGGGTCCAGGCGGTTTCTACAGGTTGGAACAAATCCAAAGCTTCATCCGGCGAGTTTTGATGAGGGTGACGAGCGGAATGCTCTTGACGTGGGCGTGCTTTGCGGGGAGAGAGGTCTCTTCTTGGGTTTCATCCAGCTTCGTCGGGGTTTGGGCTTTGGCAAACTAGTTCGAGTCATCTTTCTGCTGCTCTCTGAGATCTCTTGCGTCTAGGCTTTCGGGTTCTACTTCAGGGATAGGTAGGGGTAGTGCCTTCATTGAAAATGAAAGTAGATGTAACTGCACTCTTTTACACAGGCTTGATTGGAGCTCGCCCGGCCAAATCCCGCTGCAGCACATCGCACTCGTGGGTTACACCCTAAACCCTGCTCTTGATGACATAAATCCTGCATTACCTTAAGGACCCTAAACTATGGGAATTATGGTATATTCCTTATTATGGGTAATGCAGGATTTATATCATAAACCCTAATGTCTTTAGCAAGTAAACCTCTGATCCTTCGAGGAGGAAGACTGGGAACCCTGAACCCTACACCCAGAGAACCCAATACACCTCAATTAAGCAATATACCTTAAACTATAGGGGCCTTGATATTATGATTTAGGGTATATCTCCTATTTAAGGGGGTATTGGGTTCTCTGGGAAAGGGTTTTCTTCCCTCTCGCATGGCTGAGGATCTATGCCCACTAGCAAGGTATAGGGTTCAGGGTTTGGGGCTTAGGTGAACCTGCAACCCAACACCTAAAAACCCTTAAAATCATCCCGAGTTTGTCGCAGTCTCCTGCAACATTCGGTCATGAGGGGCGGCCTCATTCATTCGCTGGCCTGCAATTTAAATTTAGGGGTTTTAGGGTTTGGGGTTTAACTTCTTTATGAATACCAAGGGTAAACCCTTGTTCTAGAAGCCTCCAAAAGCCCTTGCAAGACTTCATCAGCACCTCTGCAACTGCCGAATGCCCTCAAATCCAGCCTCCGCTAGAAACCTGGAGACCGAAAGTGCCCCTATCCTCCGCCTCCGCCATGGGTCTGTGACCAAGTTGACCCATAAGAGCTGCACCGGTGCCAGGCTCCTTGGGATACACATCGCGCTTTCGTCAGCGAAGTCTTCTTGAAGCACCAACTGCCCGGATCCCCGGGCCTTGTCTATGAATAGAGTAGGGTTTTGAGGCATATATATATATATGTGTATATGTGTACATGTAGATAGATAGATAGATAGATAGATAGACAGATAGATAGATAGATAGATAGTATAGCTATCTAGAGACCACGTGGAAATTATGTTCCTAATTATTCAGGCCTCTACATTGCTGTTCGTTCTTATGAGGCTCACGGTTATTACTGCTTCCACTAGGCTTCTTGCTCCTGCTCTCGCTGCTGCTAATCTTCATCACGGTAAACTTGCAAGTACTGCAAACATTGTGGTGGTCATGGCGGCAGTGGTAGTAATCATCGCTAGGGCGATGATTGAACGTTCGCCTTAAGTTCGAGAAAACCGCAGTTCAAAAGTAAAGCGTGGAAACCCACGGGCTGCTGAGAGGCTTCTTAATCAGACATGAGAGATATTGAATTGGTTTGGGGTCCCATGCAATGGAGTTGTGCATTACCTTTGGCTCATGCAGAGAACGACATGTGGCTACAGCAGCCGCAGGCACTCTGGAATACCCAACGCCGCAGTCAAGAAAATCGACGCGACCTGCGAGGAAAGTGTATGTATTTTTTATCAGTGTATCATGCACTATCGAGGTGCTGTATCGATTCGTAAGTTCGTATCCAGCAGACTTGTTTGGGAACATCATTGCTTCAATTGCTACTGCTGGTACGTCTTCTGCCTCTGCCGCTGCCACTGCCACTGCTACTGCTACCACCACCACCACCACCGCCACCACCAGCGCCAGCACCAGCACCAGCACCAGCACCACGCCTACTACTACCACCGCCACCACCACCACTACTACCACGACGACGACGACGAATACTACTAGCACTACTCCGACTGCCACTACTACTACTCGTGCTGCTGCTGCGACCCGAGATGACGTTGATAACCGCCTCGAGGACGAGTACTACTATGCACAAAGATGATACTTTGGCCTTGCCCACAACCAGCTCCAGCACCAACGGAACAGTTAGAGCCGGTCGCCGTCAGTGAAGACAGGCAGGCCTCGCCGATGTTGGAGGAAATCAAATAGCGGATGACCTCAGCGTCCACACGATGCTCCTCCCTAGCCTTCCTTGATGCGTGGCAACCTTCAGCCAGCTGAGGCTGCAGCCGCCTTCATGTTCTTGTAGATGGACCTGCCCTGCTCCTCAGTCTTAGTTGAAATCTTGTCCTTTGGGGAGGTTTCTGAATTTGGGGTTCTTTCTGGAGGCAGTGCCTTGCATCGCAAACTTAGACTATTAGACTGTGTAGGTAAAGGACCCTGGTACAGACGGCACGGGGCCAACCCAGGTGAGTATTCCATCAATCTGCCAGGCAAATCAATGCCGGCTGCGAACAAAGACTAAACCTCAGACAGTGGAAACCTGGAAGCCGTGACTAACCCCAGGCTTTCTCGAAAGCAGTCTAAGCCCTTTTGAACCCGTAGCTTCTGTCTGTATGGCAACAGGAAGAAATACTATATAAACCCGAAATCGCAAAATCGTAAACCAAATATAGGGGTCGGAATTAAGTACAATGTTTCTTCATAGGGTTCCTTATTCTATATGTTTATAATGCGATTTACCCCCAAACCCGGTTCTAGCTATTAAGGCCCCTACATTACAGCCACATACCATCATTGTCATTGGCTCTTACACAACGTAAACACGCAACACCGACATGTCAGTTCCATCGGTATTTGACGGTGTTTCCCTGACTTCAGGAGCCGAATATATCGGTGCCGTCGGTGTTCCCGGCGCCTCCGAAATCGCGAAATCTGCACGTGCCGAAACCCTCGGTATTTACGGCAGTTCTTTTGCTCGCAGTGCCGAAACCACCGATATTTGCCATGATTCCTAGAGCATCCATGTGGCAACCATGTTAACGTCCACACAGACTCCGTCCGTCCCCACAGAGCATCCTAAACCCCAAGCCCTAAGGCTTCGGCCAGAAAATGTAGAATGCCTCAAGCCCTCAAAGCAGATTCCCGAAGCATTCAATCCCTGCATTCCTGCAGAGTATACCGGCAAACGTGCCTAGAAACAACGAAAACCAACCACGCACAAATTCCCGTTTGCCGCGATGTGCTGTAACTTGCCTTTTCGCAAAAATCAGCCTAAAGATTGAAGAACCGTCCTGGTTGTACAAGGCCATATGTTGTGTACTGTGAAACATGGAAAGCACAGAAAACAGCGCAACTACCGATGCGTTCGGCACCTGCGATGACGTGGAAATCCAAATGCAGAAAAATACCGACGCCACCGAGGTTTTCCGCCACTGAACAGTCTGGAATGCTGTAAAGGCCGATACAATCGGCATGTGTGTGGCGCGCGTTTACGTTGTGTCGGAGCATTATTGTTAAGCTTATGGGTATTGTTACTGTATTACTGTCGTTATAGTTTTCATTGTTACTGTTCTAAGAAGCCATGGCTCCACTGCCGCGACGATGGTCGAGAAGTTGTCGTTGGCCAAGACCATGTCCTGAGCTTAGCTGATTATACGGTCTACGGCTTTAGGGGTTTAGGGCTCTAGGGTTTAGGGTTTTGCGGTCTAGGGGCTAAAAAACGCCCCTATACAACTAGGTAGTTCGCAGAGGGTCTTGAGCAGGGTTCTTACATTCCACTTCCGGATTTGTGCCTGCCGTCGGTTCTGGCTTTCTCAGCTATCATCCTAAGCCCCCTAACCCTAAATCTAATGTAGGGGCCTTAATACTTAGAATAGGGTTTTTGGGGGTTCCTTATTATAATTATGGTATAATCTACCCCAAATCCTATTCTGATTATTACGGCCCCTATAGTAACCTTAAACGTTTACGGCCCACAGCTCTCCGCCGGGCTTCGGATGCTTACAGCCAGTAAGATATGGCTCGCCCTTCCCGCGACGCCTGATGCTTGTGGTTTGGCTAACCGCGCGAGGGTTCTGGTTTGAGGCTGAAGATTCTTTGGGGCGGTGGAGGCTTATACGACTGCTCGATTCAGGGCTAGCTCGAAACCCATTGGAGGAGGAATCTAGCCGTGAGAGGTCGCAAGGGTATGTGCGTGTGTTCGTGCATGTCTGTATGCACTTTCAATGGTTCGCACCTAAATTACGAACACCCTCAGTCAGCACCGTGATTCTCCAAGTCCTCTGTGCTAGCCAGTGGCCGAGGCTTCTTTTGCCACTTCCGTGCCTCCCATGCCCATGGCCACGCCAATGTCGGCCTGGCTACTAAGCTCACCAGTACCGACTTGATAGTAACGGCATGTTCCTATTTGGTTTCAACGCATCACAATAAACGGGCGTCAAAAGGGCACCAGTGGCGGTGATGCGTGCGACGGGGGAGGGGAAACGGGTGGACTGTTGCAGCTTCCGACTCTTCCGCGGGCAGCGCGGGCACAAATATGTTGTGGGGCTTGGCAACGATGGCCTGCTGAGCCACCGTGTCATGGGGGGCGCAAGACAGAGCAGCCACCAAGCAGTACAAGTCTCGGGGCATCCTCAGCTGCAGGGCAGTAGCTACGATCACAGTCAAGCTATGTACTAGCCCGAAGAAGGCCGAACCAGAACCCAGAAGACCCACAGAAGTCCCAGGGGTAGCCGGACGGGCCTGCTTCAAGGCAGGTGCATCGTTCACTCCATCACCTGTCCTGATATGCAGTCGAGAGCGACGAGACCGTGATACTGACAGAGGTTGAGGATATCTTCCTTTGCGGGTAGTCGCGTTCAGCAGCCACTCTAAGGTCGTTTAACATCGGCAGCCCATGCAAGTTTGCGGCTGCAGGCAAACACACACCAATGTTGGAATCTTACGTTTGGCCACAAGTAGGACAGCTCGAAGGCCGCTGGACTGCTAGATGCGACGAAAATTCATGAGAGAGAGAGAGAGAGAGCCAGAAAACAAACGACAAAGAAGCGCGCTAGTAGTCCATCTACTGGCGCTACTAGTGAGGGGTTTTTGAGCTCAGGGTACAGAGGTTGCAAGGGAGCAGTCGCTAGAGCAGCTAGAGTTTGAGACTTAGTCTTCCGCAGGTGGATCCTCAAGGCCGAGTTAAATAAAGCCGTAAAGCTTCAGAAACATGGCTATGATCTCGTAAGCTCTCTAAACCCTAAATAATCATCCAAGAGGCATAGCTACGATCTCGTCTTGCTGCTTGAGCATCCTGAGACTGCGTTCAAAAGCAGAGTCCAACACAGTCCCCTTTTTTTTAACTGTTTTTGGCTAAGACACGCTGATAAAGAAACCAGGGCAGCCAGAAAAAGGTAAGCCATAAACTCTCAAACTCCGAGACCCTCAAGTCCGAATGACCTCTGAAGGCGCTCCGGGCTTTCTTACGCTACGCCTCTGCCTTCCAAACAACATCAAGCCGCCTCTGGGCACCATTTCGGGCTTTGGGCCCAGAGTAGTTAGACCTTCAGCATCTGGGGTTTTCCGAAAAGGCCCTAATATAGTACCCTAAATAGTAGGATCCTTATTATAAGGACCCCAAAATAAGGTACCCCAATTTTCGGAAAGTCCCATCTGGTCTCCATAGATGCGAAAGACAGGCACCCGCGCAAGCACGGTAGCAAACAAGTACTACCGACTAGCCTCCCAGGCGCTGCCAAGAATGAAGTCATGGTAGCCCTAAACCCAAAACCTCGGCAAGTCTACATGAATGCACTTGGTCGATGGTGTAGAAATTTAGGGTTTAAGGCGAAACTTACATATTTAATTGGTTAGTTAAGATGTGTAACTACATGCGAGGTTGATCTTAGTCATGTAAGTGGCTAAGTGCCTTATGGCTTCTGCGTCCAAGTTGCTCCACATGGTGTCAAAATTACCAAGGTTAGGTGTGGAAGAAGGCTTTGGGGAAATGATGACATGCACAAAGCAATAATATTCTGCTTGCTATATGCTGCGCTGTATGATACTATACTATACTACAAGGCAGTTTGCATATGCAGAGTCCA